ATCTTTCAGTTTCGATAATCATACTACCAACATGGAGTTAGTTGGATATTGAAGTTGAGAATTATGGGGGGGGGGGTTCAAATAAAACACAGATTACACTAACAAAACGAAGCTATATTTTCAGTGCTCCTCATATAATTTCATGATATTTTTTTACAACAAATGTACAATATTTAAATCTACTTCATTTTACGTACAAAAATCGTGCCGGTAAAACGCGAACGCTAGGTATACAAGATATACAAGATTTTCCAAATCTTCCCTAATAGTTTCACGTTCCATCGGCAGAATAATTTATGCGGTTTCATATATTAATTATTATATAAAAATTATGTTTTGAGATCATATTCTAAACATCACAGATGTTGAAAAACATATTATGTATTTGTAATATCTCAAAAATGTTTCACTACCATTTAAAATATAATGATAAAGCAGAATAATTGTCGAGAAAAATACTTCTTCAACCAACTGAGCTGGGAATTCCCGATTAGAGTGTTAACACTAAATTTCGACCAAAATTAGCTTAAATAAGATTTACCAATATACAGGGCGTTTCATTTCACGGTAGACAGGAAATAAACAAGTCGATCAAGATACTTGCAATGTTTGGCTCTCCAACACCATTTTTTCTAGCTCGACAAAAAACCACCAAATATCAACAGAGCCTCGTTTCTTTTTTAATTCGCATCGAATCGATAATCAAGCAGGCAGAGCTGCCTAAATAATTCTGCAAACTTCTTCAAAAAGAAAACTTTGTACTAAACTTTTCTTTGGGCCGTTTTGAAAAATTTCAGAAGAATCGAGTTTCGACTCAAAGAATCATTCCGATTTTTTCCGATCAATTGACGATCAATAGAAATTAGATACGACTGAGATCAACTGGTCAGAAAACCTTAACGTTAACTTGATCTAGTTAGAAAAAATATAAAATACATTTCCGACTTCCACTGCGATAATATTTTCTATAGAAAAAAAAATCTTTAAAAGACTATTGTGATTTGTACCTGAATTATATCACATGTTCGCTACATACTAACTGGTCATTTTTATCTCATTTTGAGACCAAACCTTAGTAGCAAAAACATGTTTCTATACAGGGTGGCCCGCAATCAGAGGGCAATATTTCACCTGTTGCTTCTACTACTTAAAATTATGAAAATAATTTCATTATAAAGAGATTTTCGTTGAACGCTTCAGCTCGATGCGATATATTTTTGAAAAATATTCCGAAAAAATAATTTCATTAGGTGACTCACCTATCAGAAGTTCTTACAGGGTGAGTAATTGAAATGTGCAAGTGAGATAACCGTTTCGCTTTTTGAGATAGATGAACAAACATTTTTGTGATGGTCTAGGCTCATGAGCAGCACATTTCCAAAATATTTCGCGTTATACAGGATGACTTAAAAATGCGTGACGTATCAAAGTTATACTTTTTCTTATGGGACACCCTGTATTTCACTGCATTTTTGGATTCTTCTTTGTGAGCTGATTTCATCAATGCATCACACTTGGGGTCTAGCGATAATGATTACAGAGATATAGGGTGTTCAAAATCGAGATTTTTCAAATTTTGGATTTTTTTGGGTCGAAACTATTCATTATTTGTCTGAATGGCTTACATGTCCCTATTTCAACTTTTGATTTACTATCTACTGATATTTAATTTGAACGACTACAGGGTGGCATAATTCTGAATTTTGAACTACCCCGTATTCGGTCAAATTAAATATCAGTAGATAGTGAATCAAAAGTTAAGATGGGGACATGTGAGCCGTTCTGACCAATAATTAATAGTTTCGACACAAAAAATCCGAAAGTTGAAAAATCTCGATTTTGAACACCCTATATCTCTGTAATCATTCCCGCTAGATCCCGAGTGTGATGTATTGATGGAATCAGCTCACAAAGGAGAATCCGAAAACGCAATCAAATACAGGACATTTGACCACCCTGTATACGCAAAGTAATTTAGAAATATGCTGCTCGTGAGCCTAGACCATCACAAACATTTTTATTCATGTATCTCAAACAACCGCTATTTCACTTTCCCATTTCAATGACCCTGTATAGAGAACCAAAAGATACATAATGAAATTTTCGTTGAAGCTCCATATTTTTCAAAAATATTTCGAAACAGTATGGATCACCTTGTATCGTATTTTTGAATTATTCGTAAAATTATATACACAACTGTATCGACATTATTTGGAAAAAATTCTCAAGACAGGAAACCGATTCAAAATGCAATAGCTCCAGAATTCTACGTAGAATTCAATAATGCTAATGTACAGGGTGTTCTCCACTGCAAAAAACAAAGTTGATGCCAATGTTAATGGTTCAACCATCGAGCTAGAGTTATAACGAAAAATTCAGACAATCACACTGTACAAAACTGAGCAACGAAACGGCTCCTGAAGAAGAATCGGTCTTTTTCAAGAAAAATAAAGCTGAAATTAATTTTCTGAGTACAATAAAGGACAAAATTATGTCTTCCGAAAAATGTGTGGAGTTCAAATCTCGGACAACTTCACACCTTCTAAAACCCTTCTACATTCTGTTGGATGGGTCTTTAGAGTTCAATTTCCGAATAATGTGCAGTGAAAACCATCTTCAATTAGACCTGTCTAACAATTTTCGATTTTTTTTTATTGATTTCGATCGTGAAAGCCGCTGGTGAAATATTGCATGCGAATTTTGAGACACCCTGTAGATGCCCCTTCAAAATATCACTCACTTCGCCGAAATAAATAATATGCTTGAACAAATAGTCGACTTTCACTATTTACAAAAAATTGCACATCAGTCAAACCGTTCGTTCAAACTACGTGTATGGATAGCATGTGCTCAATTCGACGAAAAGAAGTAGAACTGTACATTTTTCGAAAACTAAGCCTAGTACTAGTACAAAAATCCATCAAACTAATTTCACACCACCTTCTGACTCAGGCGAATTGAGCACATGGGCTTCAATATCTACAAATTTTGTGACGCTATATCAACTAACTGTGACATACTAGGTATATCTTGTGATTTTAAATAACACTGGGAATTCTAACCTACACGAAAAAAAAATCACTTCGAGGTCATGTCAGCAAATATGTTTTTTCATCCCCCCTCAAGCTTATTTTTGGAAATATTTTAGGCGGATAATGTTTGAAATCTCATACCTGAATTCTTTTGACTTTCAATTTTCAATTCTTCATTGCCATCTAGAAAAGTTCTCTATCCAGCCATTTTGAAGAAACTTTTGATACATTTTTTGTCTCATTCAACGAATGTAGACGTACTTCCGGTTTGACCGGAAATTACTACAACGATCTATTTTTTTATGGGACACCCTGCATTTCATTCCATGATCGGTAAATGTCAATTGAACTATACAGGGTGATTCACGGTGGATGGCACATTCGACGATTCTGGAGAACGCAACTCAGGATTATTCTGAAAAGTTGTTGCCTTGGCTAATTAGTTGTGTTCTATCGACCTAAAATATTCTCTTTGTTGCAACGTTGCCGCTTATATTGAAAAGTAGCAACAAATTTGATTTTTCAAATGGGACACCCTGTATATTATTCCATTTTCAGATTCCTTCCAGAGAACTGATTTCATTGACCTATAACACTTGGGGTCTAGCAGTAATAATTACAGAGTTATAGGATGTGAAAAATCGAGATTTTTCAACTTTAGGAATTTTTTGTGTCGAAACTATTCATGATTGGTCAAAACGGTTTTCATGTCCCTATCCCAACATTTTATCCACTATCAACTGATATTCAATTGAAATAAATACAGGGTGGTTCAGAATTGAGATTTTTGACCACCCTGTATCTATTTCAAATAAATATCAATTGATAGTACATGAAAAGTTGAGATAGGGACATGGAAACCGTTTTGACCAATTATGAATAGTTTCGACGCCCTATATCTTTGTTATCGTCCCCGCTAGACCCCAAGTGTGATCGATCGATGAAATCAGTTCTTCAGGGACAATATGAAAATGGAATGATTTACAGGGGGTCTCATTAAAAAAATCAAAGTTGATGCTACTTTTCAATATAAGCGGCAACGTCGCAGCGCTGAGAATATTGCATAGATAGAACACAACTTATTATCCAAGGAACCAAATTTTCAAAATAATCCTACGTTGCGTTCTCCAGAAACTTGTAATGTGCCATTTACCGTGAATCAGCCTGTATAATTCACAAATCCCAAATTTCGTTTGTCCACATTCAGTAATAAAAAAATTATAGGGGTGAGCCACCATGGAATATCGCCCGGTAGATATTTTCGAAATCAAAAATAATTGGGAGACATTTGGAAAAGGGTATCGATGACTACAATGTCATTTGAATTTTCCTCAAAATGGCTGTCTTTCTGGCTTTTTTCAGATGCCAATAGAGAGTTGAAAATAACAGTTGAAAAAAATCTCGATCTTGAACACCTATATCTCTGTATTCATTTTAGATGGATCCAAGTGTGATATATCGATGAAATTAACTCTTCAGGAAGAATCTGAAAATGCGATAAAATACAGGGTGTTCCATTTGAAATATCAATGTTGCTACTACTTTCTAGTAGAAGCGGCAACACTGCATACATAATCTCCATAATTCGACTTTTTGGTACTCATACGTGATATTCCAAACATAGATGTAGAACATTGGTGATTGGGTGAGTGATATTTTGTTGGCAGTTGCCAAAATCTTTCGCATTCGAATACGATATAGGCAACCAGCCTGAAGAACCACCAACAAATTGAAGGATTTTGGAGATCAAAAGAAAGAAACAAATCTACTTTAAAAATAAATACATATAGTCTATAAACAGACAAACAAAATATAGTACTTAAACTGTACAAAAAAAACTTATAATTAATTAAATTTCTTTCAAGAAACAAAACTTAAATTGTACTTTACAATATTAATAATAAATTTTTCTTCGAGATCGAGATTTGTAACAAAGTGGAAGAAGGTTTGAATTTCTATTGGCGTTTTTTAACTTGTCAATTCTGACAGCCTCGGTAATTTCGAAGGTCTCTCCAGTTGCGAGGCCCAGTCGCCATTTTTCTTCGTGTACTCCGAAGAAGTTCGCTTCTTTACCGGCATGAAATCTGAAACAAAAGAGAGCACCGCATCAGTTTACCGAATTCAAACATCCTGTATAGTCATTATTATCAATGTTGTATCTTTTTGCACTCAAACTTTCCCTCAGAAATTGTTCAATCTGTTTCGTTTTCGGTGGCCCACTATACTTATACAGGGTGATATTCAAGTATACGAGTAAACTATATTTTGAAAAAACTTTGACAACATGCCTTTATAATGTTTTGGCCACATACTTTAATAACACCCTGTATACCAGTAGCCTTCACCCTAAGTGCCTACTATGACACTGGTTAATTTATATAGTCCTAGTCTTTTTCTATTCGAAGATCCAACACATTAGAAAATTTTCTCACAATCTATGAACAGTTTCCTCAGTAAAAAAATCATTAAACATCTCGAATTACTGTACTACTCTGAGTATCTAATTTCACAGTTTTTTCTTTGTATACGGCTTCTCTCTGGTGCGTCATTGTAGTAGTAAACAATCGAAGACACACCACGCCAAGAATTAAAAAAAATACAAAAAAGAAATAAAAAGCACATGTGCCTCTGGTGTGTGTGTTTCAACTACTTTGTTTACTATTTAGTGCCAACGGTGTCAACGACCCTGTAGAAAGAGAAAAGAATGAGAGCCCGATTAGTTCATTTGGAATTCACCCTACCCGGATATCAAGTAGGTCATGATCGTTACGTAACACGTGAGAAATTTATTCGGGCGGGACACAATAATTTTCTCACGGCTAGAAAAAAAAATCGGAATTCAAAGATGGTTCATGAACAAAACTTCAATGAAAAAAAAATAGCGCATTCGGTATTGGGTTTTCCCCTCGGTTTTTCCATGTCTTTTTCCAATATTTTCATGAAATTTCCACTGTAGCCTCATCTTTTTCCGTGTATTTCGAAAGAGAAGGATTTAAAGGAAAATATGCGCGTAGAACATGGTAGCTGTAAGGGCTGCTGCTGCTGTTTCTCGCCTACCAGAAACATAATCATGGTTCTCTTGATTGAAGCAATCGGCTCAAGTCTTCCATTTTTGTTTCAAAATTAGCTCTTGAAGTGGACGTTTCTCTTACTGACACAATAAAATGATTAGTATTTATGTTGCTAGGTTTTTAGTGTCTAGGAGCTAAAGTTGAAGTTTAACTCCTAAGAACTAAATATGTGTCGGATGACAGCTGATATGATAGCTGCTTTGACACTGACACGCTCAAGTGACACTTATATTTTATTAACTATACTTCTAATGGAAACTCCCCTATATCTTACGTAATCGTTGGGTGAAGATCCTGAAATTTGCTGGAGCGAGAGATACACTGCTCGCCAACAGCCATGGAACCACCCCTATTTCCGGAAAATGATATTAGGAGTTGAAATAGGTTGAAAATCACTTCGGATTCGGAATCAGGACACTTAATTCACTAACTATTCAAGTTTTCCTAGAAAATTTTCAGTTCAGAAAAATTAAATTTTGTCTCACTTCTCATGGAAACACCCCCGTATCTCACTTAATTATTGAGGTAGGGTTCTGAAATTTGCAGGAGGAAGGGAAAGTCCAAAGATAAAGTCAATTAGGTACGTAAAAAGTGCGACAAAATCTATAATTTTTCTGAACTGAACATTTTCTAGGAAAAATATGAATAGTTAGTGAATTGAACGTCCTGATTCCGAATCTGAAGTGATTTTCGAGCTATTTTGACTCCTAATATAATTTTCTGGAAATTGGGGTGGTGGACTTTGGGTCTTGCAGTAATAATTACAGAGTTATAGGATGTGAAAAAGGATTTTTTTTGTGTCGAAACTATATTCATAATTGGTCAAAACGGTTTTCATGTCCCTATCCCAACATTTTTTTCACTATCACTATTGTTATTTAATTTAAATAAATACAGGGTGGATGAGAATTAAGATTTTTTGATCAATTGTGAATAGTTTCGAGACAAAACATTCTTAGTTAAAAAATCTCGATTTTTCACACCCTATATGTTTGTTATCATTTCCGCTAGACCCCAAATATGATATATCGATGAAAAGTTGTTGCTACTTTTCAATATAAGCGGCAACATCGCAGCGATGAGAATATTTCAGGTCGACTGATAAATAGATAATAATCCAAGGAACCAAATTTTCAAAATAATCCTATGTTGCGTTCTCTAGAAAGGTCTAATGTACCATTCACCGTGAATCAGCCTGTATAAATTACTTTCGGTCACATTTTTAGGGTTGGTATGATTCATTATCATATTATATGGTAGGCGAAAAAATACGTTGGACCTTTATCCACACTCGCATAATATACAGACATAGAACTCCTCACCCTAAATATATGTAACTCGAGCTGTGTTCTCACCAGTCAAGTACTGCTGAAATATTATCCGCAAGATTAGCGAAAATGAATGAATACACATTTCTCAAAAAAAAACCATCTACCCCTCCGTTAAACCGAATATTTCACGATAAACCGGTACACGACAACAATCAACAATATACCGACGATTAATAAATTTCTCTGTCAAGCCATCCGTTTGCATACCAATTACCTACCCCCCATTCCACTTTTCCGCAAACCTAATCTCTAACTGTCCGCTAGTGACGGAGAAGTGTCCATCAAGATCAAAAGGGGTGTGTTTCCTTTCGTCTTTCGTCAAGATCAACTGGGGTGGTTTTCCTTTCCTTTCGTAGGGCGCCAGGGAAGCATGTTGAGATGGCACCGCAAGTTGAGCACCCCCTTTTGGCGTATGAATAATAATAGTAATAAAGGAACACGTGTCCCAAAGTCCCAGGCCTCAATTACTCATTACCCGACCCCAGTGATATACCGAGGTTCTCACGGTGCAGATCTTTGTCGAGAAGAATTTGGCACGTAATTATTTCACCCCGATGAATCATCATCTCCCTCATAAATAATAACAATAAGGAAGTGGGGGCATATATGGCCGGCCCTAATATTTTTAGAAAACGGATCATTTAGCTGAAAGCGTGTTTTATGGCCAAAAGCGGTTTTTATGGTTAATAGCGGGTTGTATGGCCAGAAGCAGGTGTTATGGCCCGGGCCATATAGGCCTTTCACACCGAGGGCCATATTACCCGACGTATAGTTACAAATAAAATTATTTTTCCTTAATCAACTACTTAAACTGGACATATAATTCCATAGGAACATCAGGTATGATGGTTTACTTACCTTGGGGTGGAGTACGCACGAACTACTATGTGAACAATATGGTGAAAACTTCTTGTTCGAAAATTAACTAATGACACTATTATCGCTCCACGGTCTACATCAAACTGAATTAGTTAGTCTTCCGAACTGGAGTGCACGATGCGGTCTTTGAGGGGAGTGGTACCAAGCTACCTATATAAACACAGCAGCGATGCTCAACTGTTTTTTTTTTCTTAAAATTGCTTGAAATATTCATTCGGGCCATATAATCTCTCTGGCCATATATGCCTCCACTACCTTAATTATCGCGAGACCTGCAAATTTGATCGGTACATTTAAAGAATCAAGGAGATAGTTATTTATGTACCAAGAACGAAAAACTGTCTATTATAGTCTATTGTTATGCCTTAGGCGAGACAATAGACAGTTTGTCGCCGAGGTGCATATTACATTTTTTCGACGACCTCAAACACATATTTCAACAAGTGAAATCTGTCGGATTTCGTGAATAATTAATTTGACCACTTGATACTCATCCTCCGCGAGGACCAGGGTTGCCAGTGCGATTTTTATTTCGTCAATAAATACCTTGTCAAAAATTCAGATGTATTTTATGCTATACGAATTCCAAGAAAGGATAATGAAATCAACCTATGACGTCAAAACATTATGTACTTTTAGTAAACAGAAAAGTAACCTATTTCCAACAAGATAGAAACAAGCAAAACAAACATTATCATAAAAAAATAATCATATTCCTAATCCTCATTTGAAAATACTCACAAATATCACAAAATACAGTTACATAAGTACTTACAGAGAAAAAGATTTGTGTATATAAAAACAGGAACGAATATTAAAAATGAATAACAAAAATATACAAATAAGAAAATCAAACGTAAAAAAACAAACTGTTATAGCAGAGGTATATGAAAAATTGAATTTGATCTGAATCAGATATAGTATTGTCTTTTTTTGGTTAATACATTTTATCATTAGTACCTATATGTAAAGGACCCCGCACCATTCACATTGAAATCTTATCTACGGTGGAATTTCGTGAAAATCTAGGATTGGATATATCAAATCACGCTGAACAAGAAATGTCCTTTGGTCCAGTCCAAGGACCCTTAGTTATACGCTCTTGAAGCCAAACGGGATAACCTCTACCAGAACAGCACATCCCGTGTGTATTATGGTTTTGGTAATATGATATTTTCGAGTTGTCAGATAATGGTACGAAGCCCTGGAAGGGACACATAGAATAAAAAAAATAAAACTCTTCTAAATTCTGAGTTATACCTCGGAATTTTAAAATTCCGACTTATATCTCGGAATTTCACATTCAAAATTCCGAGTTGAAAATCAGAATTTTGAAATTCCGAGTTATAACTCGGAATTTTGGATGTAAAATTCCGAGATATGTCGGAATTTTAAAATTCCGAGTTGAAACTCAGAATTTTGAAGTTAATTTTATTTTATTTTACGTGTCCCTAGTAAAAGTCATTGAGCAAAAGCGTATTACTTTGTTCAAATACATATAAGATGGCTCAACAGAATAGGTTTCGTTGCGATAGCGAAGGCGATATTAATGCTATGGCACGTATCGATTGAGATCAACATTTTGAGCAGCAAGCAATCGCAATCCATAGTCAACAGATTCTAGGAAGAAAGAATATACCCCTATAACTGATCGTACTCGTTTATTCGCCTATAGCTCATGCTGCAAACTTCATTCTCGTAGGAAATCACTATCATTCCTTGCTCGTTAAACAATATACTATTTTCTACGGCTATAACACAAGATTGCTCTTGTTTTACTGTGTTCGATACATCAATGAGGTA